TTCATTTTTAATTGTTATATGGTATCATTATGTATCTGTTGTATACGATCACGTAACCTGCATATAAACATTACTGGTATATTTTGGACAGATGAACATAAACACAGTAGAGGTGGCATTTCGTATGTTCGAGGTCATTGATCTCTACTATATACTGTATTCATATACATTCAGGTAATTAATGATATTTTTTTGTTGCAGGATCGGGTCACGTTTAACGAATTTATTGGCCCCATTTTTGCCTGCATTGCGCCGAGAGTGAAGATTTATATAGACTAAACAGGATATAAGTAAACTGCAAATTTTTATGTTTTTATAGCTAATAAAGATCTTCATCCTATCGCGATTCCCGACTGAAATGCATAAGAATCTGCAGTTTAGTTATAAGGTTTCATCAATTCATCGTTTGCATCTTGATAATCATGTAGCTTCCCCTTCTCATCAATATTTTGCATTATATTACTCTTGAGAGAGGTAACTGAACAAATTGGTTAGCTTAAGGCAGTATCTACGGTTCATTTGTCAATTATGCATACACACTCCTCTGTGGAATATAATCCACTCTCAAACTTCATGTATACTTCCACGCACTCAAGGGTAAAATGTACAATATACCCTTATCGAAACGAAATTTATTTGATTAAAAATTAAAATACATTATTCATGAATTCTTTTTGGTATATCATCACAATACTTTGTATAAAAAATGCTTAGGACTATGCTCCTCAGAATTTACATTGTCTGGGTGGAATCGTTTGTAACCTTCTAAAAAATAAGGAAGGAGAGAAAACGATCATCACTTTCACACGGACTTTACAGACACAGTTTATAATATAGTAAATAACGTGTACTTCAAAGAAAGAAGAAAAGCTCGTATTTTTCTCATTTTAATAAAAACACAATCAGAATAGAAGATAAAGGTTCACAATGGTCATTTATATACAACGTCTTGAACTTACACGACGGATCAATTGTGAATCATGGAAGCGAGTACAAGAATATGTTCTTGAAATATATCTCACCATTAAAATAGAAAGTAGCTTTGTGTAATGTGTTCTCCTTTTTTTTCTTTACACCGACACTGATCAGGCTGATCTGGGTCTATTATTTTTAAAATTTCTTTCAACGGAAAATCATGTTAAAATGGTAATGATATCTCGAACAGCGATAAACAACGGATCAAACGATATTTTATGAACAATTTGTTCCGTTCGAGTGATTCCCTGTCGCCAATACTGCTCCTGGCGGAAAATAATTAAAACAACAAAGAATAATTGTAATAAAAACAACTCATAGATCGGATGTAACAAATACTTCACAAATAGACTTAAATAGTTGTTGTCATTTTAATAAAGCTCTTATAATATACACATCTAAAATTCCGTGATTTCTCAAAAGTTAATCGAAGCTGTAAACAATTCTTAGTTTTAAATGTCCTCGTTTCAATAGATTATTTACATTGTCTTACATTTGTCGAACAGCAGAATAGATTTATTCTTTCGTATAATTTCATTAATATTTTCATCAAATATATTTTGTCTTCTTATTCTGTTTCTTTAATATCGAACACACAATTGAACACTTTCTGCCAGGGGCAGTACAGTTAATACCAATCTTCACGATGCGACGTTGTATCGTAAAACTAATGTACCCTGTATCTCACGTTTAAAAAGTGTTCCGTTTTTAACCTTTCTTTTTATTTTTTTCCTCGATGTCCGAACGGGGGAAGTGAAGTTCAATGGAATTGTTTAAGGTACATTAAAAACCTGTGCATCCGGTTCACTAGCGTAGAGGATTTAATACTCTTGAAAATATGTTTATCGTTATAGCACAATCGAGTGCGTTCTCGGTGGGCATGAGAAATTAATTCATTACGCTACGAATTAAGTATTTCTTGATTCGTCCATTATGCTCGAAGCAATTGACCGCGATTAATTCTAACTCTTCTTAGCGGGTAACAGCTAATCCTTAATGTAAATTACACTAGATGAAACGATGATGATCCGAGAGTATGGGTCGAGGTACGATCGGCTGAACAATAGCCCGGTAGAACGGCGGCTCGCGTTCATGGACCCATTGATTACCGTCGAAATTATTAGGAAGGATTTACGGTTATATACACGAAACGCGTCTCGTCGAAGGAAAAAAAAAGGAAAAAAAAAATACTGAAGCGCACGAGTACAAGTTTGCTGCATGACGGAACGAAGAAAGCTGTACACGACTTTGACACACGCGAGAAATGCTTATTAGTTCGTCGACTATGTCGTATCACCTAATCACCATGGCTTGATTCGTCGAGAGACACAGAGTTTGCGTCGTCGCGGCTCGTCGCCACTCTCTGTCTCTGCCGAAAAGATTTTATTAACAGAATGCTAACAAATGGTTGTGCAAAAAACGATAGGAGAGGCAGCGATTTACATGTCGTCGAGAAAACCGTGATAATATAAAAGACAGAAGAAATGTGTATATATATAATATATATAGTTTTAGGAAGGAAGTTGAGCCGCTGCGTTAGCGTTGAGATCTTCACAGTTTGTTGCCTCCTCAGGACCGCTATTATTAGCAACTGCGGGCTCGTGAAATTTTAATTCCTCCTTACCCGCCTATAGAGGAATTATTCCATTTGACATCTTTTTTAAAAAGTCAATTGCTCGTTAAAAAAAATGACTTGAAAACGGCACCAGAAGCATGTTATAGATACGTGTCGGTTACATCACCGGCTATTACCTCTTTGATCAGAAGACGGCAATTCTCCATCACGCTACGCCGTCTGTCCGACGAGTTGCTCAGTATCTCTTCAGACTGATGGAGGCTGTCCACAATTTTACGCATCTCCTCTAACTCTGTCGACGTCACCTCCAACTTCGTTTCCAGTTCAGATCTATAAATCGCCATTAATTAATATTTACTTAGTATTGTAGCAGCGGTTTAACGGTAGATGAACGCGAATAAAAATGTAAGCCGTACTTCTCCTCTTTCAGTTCTTGAATACAAGTCTCATTGTCGAGTTGAATTATTCGTAGCACTTTCAACAATTTCGTGAGAAGATTATCCACGTCGATTACTTGATCAACAAGACCGACCGCAGGACAGTAATCCGAAGCCAGCGGACCATCATTGGTACCGGTGTCAGATTCGCTAATCGAGTCGCAATCATCGTCCTCTTCGTTCTCCACCTGCAAGGTGTACAGTAATTTAATCAGATTTATTTGTATACTAGTAATACAATCTGTATGTTACGTGAATAATAATATACGTAGCTAGATTTACATAGATCATACGCATATTACATAAATACAAAAAAAGGAAATATAAAGAAAATAAAAGGGAAGGAAATGTGTACCTTACGACGATGCAAGATCGCTTGAGTGAGATTAGTAAGGCTGGAACATTCGTCATTGGTGCGAGTCTTTTTTAGATTACTTTCGTCCACGGTCTCGGGGAAGCTCAAAGCTCTGCGCAGAGAGTCGCTACTCGAGACCATGTTGTGCGAATAAGTATCAGGCAAAGGAACATCCTCCAACACGCTTTCCATCATTAAGCACGGCTCTGTCTCGAAATCGAGCAGATCTGACGAGGATTCCATGCTCAATTCTGTTCAACAAGGGAATAATCATGATTAGGCATTTTTATTGTCTACGAGGAATTTGTTGAGACGTACCTTTGTACATTTGCTTCGCCGATTCTAATGTAGACTTCTTGTCCGCATTCTTCGTCGCGAAAGGATGCGTCGCCGCGTTTCGGATGGCTCCGATAACAGCGGAAACGAAGGAACCGCTTTTTGGACTAGGAGTACACTCTTTCAGACTATGTTTAGAGCTGACTGGACTGGACTCGATGCTGCTGTTGCTTCTGCTATAGGCTTCATTGTGATATATCACATCCTGCATAGAAATTACATGATTACTACTAACTCGGAAGAAATACCACAGAACAAAGGGACTCATTAAGACTTTACCTCGAGATCTTTTACCGAGATATTATAGGAAGTTATCAACTGGTCAACTAATCCCTCTAACCTAGTTCCCAAACCGGAAAGTGCGACCGCAGCACCGGAAACTGCGGCTCCTTGAGTCAGTAACAGTTCCCTGCTTCGACGTTCAACAGCATTCAGTTTCACACTCATAGATAAATTTTCTTGCCTACAAAACAAAGGAAAAATAATTACAGTTTAAATGAATATTCGAAAGTATACGCCTATCTTGCATGGACACGTACCTTCGTTGTTCGCTAATTCTAACTAGGTGTTTACATTCCTCGGTTTGCCTTTCCAATTCCAGTTCGCGCTTTGTTAGCATCTCTTCCTTTTTGGAAAGCTGGAGATTCAATCGAATAAGTAAACAATTTTTATTTGTCGATCGAAGTTTTCAGCTTCGTTCGATGAAAATATATACCTCTGCCTCCGCCTCTTTCAGAGCTTCCGCTAAAGTAGCTTTCTCTTCTTGCAGGAAGTCTTGCATCTCGGCTGATTCCGCTTCTAACTCTTGTTGTTGCTGCAGCAGCGCTTTCTGAGCAGCCAGACTCTTTTCCAAATCCTTTGTGAACAGATACATAGCATCAGCGGTTTCGAAACATAAAATGTTCAATGATAGCTCACTGTTCAAGGACATCTTACCCTACTTAACATACGGCACAAAGACTGTAGATCCGCTATTTCTAATTGCTGATTAGCGACCACTTGTCCGGAGGATTGCAAATGGCACTCGAGTTCCAGAAAACTGTCACTGCCTTCTGCAATTAACATTAACATGTAAGACAACGGGTACAAAAGCAACAGCATTCAAGAAATAGAATACATTTTTGCACATGTCGACCGTCTCAACTCGGTGTACTAAATTGCATGTAACACCTCGTGTGCTGATAGACACTCAGAGTCAACATACCTGCGTGCTCCGATTGCGGTGTACCAAGCATAGCAAGCACGCGCTGCGCGTTTCTATCCAGCTCTTGCCTGGCGAACGCATGATCAGCCTGTTCCTCTTCAAGTAAACGCTTCACCTCGATCACTTCAGCCTTCAGCTTCTCGTTCTCCTCTTTCTGACTGATGGTCTCCTCCGTCAATCTCTTCAGATCGCACTGCATAGTCTGCATGTCCTCCCAGGTGCCTTCGGTTTGACAGCCCTCGTGCAATCTCTCAACCACTTCCGGTCCTGCAACCGCGCTAGGTACACCCGACAAGGCATTCTCTATATCCTGACCGGTTAAACCAGTCTGAACACTGGTCTCATGATAAATACGCGTCTTCTCTGCCACTTTGTGCCTAGGGTAGGGCGGCAAGCTCTTGTGAACAGAAGACTCTTTGCCGATAGCTTTTTTCTCGACCTGCCTGTTCAGACTAGCATCTCTGCTGCCAGACCTACTTCTGGTCACTTTGTCGGTCTTCTCGCTGGCCTTGGAAATAATGATCTTATTCCTGTTCCTCCTGGGCAAAGTTGCATAAGTGTCTAAAGCCTTGTTGTCCGTGCTGATCATCATTTTATCGGGCCTGGAGGGCCTCGACATCTCTCCCCGGCCTGTGTAAGGCACCCTCGGAGTACCCAGTGGCTTTCGTACCTCCTCGGACGGCGTGGAACTAGGAGTGCGAGCTCCCCTTGTGCTGGACCCTCCCCTGGACCTACAGCTACCACCAAGACCCCTTCCTCGCTGGGCTAGGTCCTTATTGATCTCCGTGGTCAACGCTGATGGCAGTGAATCGGGTATTGGCCTCGTCCTCGTCCTCGGCGTCGCGGAAGCCGTTCCTGAACGGAATGCCGTCGACACCCGGTTACTTACAGGCGTACCTTCCAATGTACCTGCTGTCATCAATAAGTTTCAATCAGTTCTACCCTGACGGGTGCTATAAAACATTTTTATTACTGCCCCGAACTTACCTTCCTTCGTTGTCGATTTCTCTCTAGACCTAGCCCTGTCCCTTGTCGCGGGCTGAGTCTTGCTGAGTATACTCCTCGGCGTGGCCGTTCTTGGCTTGGATCTAGGGGTGGCAGCGACATAGCTAGTGGTCAAGGGTGTCGGTTTAGCTCTGATGTTTTTCTGCGCGTCCGTTGCGGTTGCCTTCTTCTTGCTGACGCTGGAAGTGGCCACCGTCCTCTTCGTGTTTGTACGGTTGCCGCGAGCCGACACGCTGCCAGCGATTGACGAGCTCTCGCTGCCGCCCTCGCTTGTCCCCTCGCCCCCGGTGGTCAAACGAACATCGTCCGGCAGAGTTGCGCATGGGTCCTCGTACACGGAGCAGCAACTAACCAAGCTGGAGTCGCATGAGGCTTCGTCTAAGCCGCCGCAACTGCTCGCGTAGTCCAGGCTATTTCTGCTTCGCACCTGGACAAAATTAGTTCGACGACTGTTATTGTAACTTAATTTGTCGTTGTTAAATCAATGAGAACGTTTTGCCAGAAACTGATCCTATTAACAGGATGAAAATGCTACCTTCTAGCGGGAAGGATTAACCCTTCCCACTCGATAGGCGACTACTAGTCGCCATTCGATTGAACACAGTAATATCGTCAAATTTAAAATTCAATATTACACTTTGTGGAAGGCATCAACAGGTCAAACATAAAAATAAAATAGTTCTGTCTCTTAAATTATGCAAGATTTTTCTTTACGTTAGTTGCAAATAATGTTATCGATATTTCATCAGGAAATAACGAATATTTATAATATCAAATATTATTCAGTGCAAAGGGTTAAGTAAAAATCGTTAATAATTGAAGAAATTATTCACAGAATTCTGTCGAATCGAATGGACGTTTCCTCGAACCAGAATTTAATATATTCACAATTGATTTATTTTAAATTATCATTGTAAGTATCACCTTTGTTATAAAATCCATTTTCTCCTATTAACACGTTGAATGCCGCTCGGTTTCATACAGCAAAATACATGAAGTAGAAAAAGTATAATATTTAATTTTCGATTAAACTGCACTATTATCACAACACGTTCATCCAGCTGAATATAACTGCATTGAGTAGTATTGTCTATAATATAGAAACGTTTTCAAACAATCATCGTTTTACTGAGTGAATTATAGTAATTCGATTTGGTTGGAGGTCACCCGTAACTCCCGTGGCATTCAACGTGTTAATTACCGTATGACGCTTGTTTTGTCCGATCAGACGCGAGGCCGTTAGGGGATGATTTCCCGGAATCCTCTCTCCACCATTTTGCAGAAGCGGTTCCGGCCATTTCCGCCTTAATAATTGAACGGCGCAACAACCCGCCACCTTTTTCAACGGACGTAGTCCGATCGATCATCTTACCCTTGGAACCTCGGTAGCGCAACCCTCCACGCCGCTGTCGCTGCCGTCCTTGCTGTCCTTGCCCTCGGCGCCGTAGTCCTTCCTGTCCACGGACAGAGTCTGCTCGGACTTGTGGCCCTCGGACTCCGTCACGTGGATCACGGTAATGTTGCAGTCGCTGTTCATCGTGCCGTCCAGGTCCTCTTCGTTCAACAGATTGCTAGCGTCGACCAATGGCGACGCGAGATCCTCCGGTACCCCCGAATCCTGTCGCGCGACATTCTGCACGGGGGACACTTTCAGGCTATTGTCCTCGAGAGGCGTCTCCATCTCGAGGCTAGCTTGCTCGTTGCTCGGGCTGACGCTCATTTCGTGGGTGCCATCATCCTGAAATGAATGGCAAATCGTTACTCCCCATTGTCTTTCATTTTTTGTCTGCGCTGTCCCCTTCACTTTTCTCGAACTACCACTGAATAACATTTCGAATGTTATTCGAATAAATGGAGACACGTAGACCAGTGACAATTTCTTCATAATATATTTGAAATTCAGACTATCCTGGACAAAATGAGAAGGTCAACCCGAAGAAAATCGAGCGAACGAAATGCTAAGAAATCAGAAAGCGCTTTGACATAAAAATGCAAAAACCAAGGCGAAAAGATTCAAAGAACGCAGAGTGAACAGTGTGCGACTGCTGGAACGAGATTAAGATGGAATTCCGTGAAAATCGCGAGAGCAAACAAGGATTTCACGTTTTATCGAGATTCGGTGAATATCGAGAATCACGTTCCCCATTCCCCGCGTTCCGAATCGCGCGGATTCAATTCACTCGCGAAATAAGGAAATGCATGTTACGTAACGCAGCCAGTAAAAGCCAATTTCCTTTTCCTGTTCCTTTATTTTCATTGGTATGTTAATAAATCGCGCGATTCGCCGGACGGCTACGTCCCACGGTGGTCGATTAATTTGAGAAGTAGGACAAAATCAATGTTATTGGAAAACTTGCATTTTTTTGTAAATCATAAAACAAAATGTAAATACTAACAGGGAATTCACATCGTTTTCTTTTCTATTCACTACAACGGTCGAGATCATGTAGAACATTTACTCTTCACTGTTTCATGTCGAAAATTACACCCTTTAACAATGTATGACTCTTAAACTGTTACTTATTTTGACTTCAAGAAAATGCATAATATAGTTCAAATATTAGTAAGTATATCTGAAAATGGTCTGCATCAAAAAGTGCACCGGTTATTTCAAAAATTCCTTCAATGTTGTAATCCTTTTAACACGTTGACTGCTACAAAAAACATCACTTATCCTTTCTATAGCAAAGATACAAAGCAAGAATTATTAACTCTTTGATATGAAAATTCTTATATTACCTTATTATCTAGTTATTTACGTTACGGAAAATTTGTATTCGAAATCAATCATCTTCCAAGTCATAATTATTTTCTTGTAATTTGAAAGCTCTGGTCATCGCCGTGGCAGTCGAAGTGTTCGGCCATTTCGATTTTTCACATGATCTGGCACATATTTATTCCGACGGATGTGAAAAAATGTCTGTTCAGATTCGAACAATTTGTAAATGCCTCCATTGTTTCGGTTGTCGGTAAGATTAAATGAAGAAAACGTGTCGGTTGTACGTAGTAAGCCATAATAAATTAAATTACATAAGAATGTCCAGTTGTTAAAACAATTCTTTCCCCATTTTCGTCCCAGTTTGCCCGAGGATCGGCCGCTGCGCGTCCTTCTACAATCGGACCGGAAATGATGCAACCGCGACGCAGCGAGCACCGCTCGATCGAGTCGCGAAACGAGCGGACGAAAAACATCGAAAGCTGGACGAGGATGAGCGCCGACGTGTCCCGGCCACTGGACAACGGGGATCGATGGGAAGCAATTAAAATCCGAATCTTGACCGTGGAAAACGCGCGCAATCGCCGGCGATATTCGATTACCACGATACAATATCCGCCGTGGGCGTTCCTTCCAGACTCGCGAGGACTAATGGTTTTCGGGATCGCGCGGGGAACATCGATGAAAGCTTAATACCTGCCCCCGAATCGCTCGAGGAAATTCCTGACGAGCGGGATTAGTGGACTCGCCTGTGAAACATGTACAGGACGCTTCAAATCACGGGTTTCGGAATTCGGAGAGAATATTCTGAACATCCGCGAATTATCTATTTTTCGTGTAATAGATTGTAAATTGTTTAGAGGTAGTGTCGTAATGTAGATTTGTAGTTGTTGGTTCAAATAAGGATTTTCGACTATCTTCACCCTTTGCATTCGAGTTTTTCACTGGAAATATTTAACATTTTTCGACGAGATACAGACGAAATTGTTTGAAGTTAATTTAATGATTCACGGATAAATTAAGCGACAAAGATATTTTAAATATTTCCTATAGCAATACTAAGTTTAATTTGAAATATTAAATATTCAACTTCATAGTTCTTCTGTATCGAATCAAGTAATGATTGAGAGTCACTCCAGTGCAAAGAGTTAAGACAGAGGATAAGCATGGGGACTTTATAGCTATTACTATGAATAGGTAAAGGAGGAATTCTGAAGTATTAACACGTTGAATGTTAAATGATTTTATAGAGAAAACTTGATAGAATGCGTTCATTTAGCTGAATGTCACTGTATTAGGTAGAATTATTTATGATATAGAAATGTTTTCGAATAATCATCCTTGAATCGAGCGAACAATAATAATTTGATTTGATTGTGCGTCACCCACGATCTACGATCGTTGTAACGATTAAAATTATAAACGAAAAGCAGCATTCCTCCTATCCGAGAGTTCCAACTCGACGTATTTGCTTCAGCATTTTTCAGGGAACCGCGAACGTTATCACGACCTCTAAAATAATTTTAGCAATATAAAGCGGTTCGTTATCGGCGGGACACGTATTGGTCGCGCAGAAAATTCCCTGGAAAAATTCGTCGACTAACGCAACGATTTTGGAGTGCAAAAAACGAAACGGAATTCCTGGCGAATAGTTCTCTCCATCGCTGAACGAAATTTGCGATATGAAGCAATTAATGCCACCTCGCCGCGAATTTCTCGCCGTGAATCACGGCTGCCGCGTGTTGTGTACACGTGAAACGAATTACGAACGAGCCTTGTTACCGAATTACGTAATGCGACCTGTTATTTATGATTGGTCGCCGGCCGACGCTCGTGGAACCATTTCCTCGTGGTCTCACGGAGAACCTCGCGAATGGAATAATAAGCGAAAAGAACGTCAGATGGACGATAGCAGCGCACGATGTAAAACACGTGCTCTGGTTTTTTGAAAAAGCGTGATATGAGACAGGTACTCCTAACCCCTTGCCCTATGACTTACTTCTTAACTATGAACAATACAATTACTTTGCCATTAACGCTAGAACTACCGAGCATTTGATACGATTGAAATGTAATCGCTATGAATATTGTAGTAATAGATTATTTTCGGTTTCTTCAGACATTCATTGTAGTATTCAAGTGAAACTATTTATTTTCAAAATCGTTTCGAATATTCAATGCTTTGGAGATATCAATAATTGCGAAACAGGAAAACTGAAACCAGTCATTTTGACTGGTACGTAGTTCCAGTGTTAATAATCGTTTCGAAAAAGAGTAAATATTTTTATACATCGGTTCTGTTCTCATAATTGTTTCCAAGTAATTTGGACGCTCCGGTCATTGGTCACCGTGGTAATTAACATGTTAATTAGATAGATGTTCTTTTGAATTTTAATTCTCTTTTCAACGCGCGTCGTTGTCGATCATTTTCCAAACAGAATGAACGCAATTTCGAAGGTGTAATTCATTGTTCAGTTTATCCTTTCATTAGACTTCCTCACTCCATTTTCAAGTAATTCATTGCTCTACTTGGAAATGTTTTCACGTCGATTTCATTGTAACTTCGTAGTATCTCAGCATTACCCTTCTCGTTCTCCGACTTTTCTATCATTATTACTCTGTAGCGCAGTAACGAAGATATCAGTATCATTACTGTTTTTACTTTAGCTTTCTCTTGCCGAAAATAAAGCTAAATAACAGTGTAACTTAAGAGCCATGACACCGAATCGTTCCTAATTAATTCTAATACCATTTGCGTCTGTTACGATGCGATAAATAACGTTGTACGTAACACTTTGAATCCTCGTGCCGGTCAACGTGTTAATATCGTCAGTTTCCGCGAATAGTTTATGAAAGTACGAATTGGTATAAACATTCGGTGCGGATCGGCGTCTAAAAATATTCCGCGCGACCGTTTCGCTCTTCGAGCGAGCCTCTCTGCTTCCGTCCGCAATCATTCCATCTTAATCTGTCGCATGTTTCACGCCTGCCCCCTTCGCCCCGCCGTCCGCCGTCCCCGTCCTCCCCCTTCTTCCGCGCAATTACGTATTTTAGCAGTAATCGACGAAGAACGCCGCGTCACTAGCCGGTGTTCCCCTATTTCGCGGCGTTGAATCGCGTACGACGCGATTCGAGTGCGCTCCCGCCGACACTGTCATTGAACAATTATCCCCGCCCGAGCCAATCGATCGCCTCGTATCGTTCGCGGGATTTATTGTCGCCGATAAACGTTGAGAAAGTCAATATCCGTGGCCGTGCAGGAAACGGCCGAACGATTGTTGCCGTTCGCATCGTCTGCCGGCCATGTTACGAGCGGCAACAATCATTTGGATCGCGCACACACGCGCGACGCCTGATTAACCCCTTGCACTATGATTTCCTCCTCAACTGTGATAGGTGCAACCACTTTACCGTTTAATATTCATTGGAAAACGAGGAAAATTGTAGGTACACTCTGTGTCCATGTTCGCTCTAAGGCAATTTCCAAAAGAAATCTTTTAATAGATATAATAATGTAGGCACGGTTTACGTGATAATAACTTTATTACAAACTAAACATTACTTCACTGAATTTGTAATGTTACGTTACGATACGAAGTTTATTAGTAGATATTATGGTATGAACAGTCATTTTTTATTACAAATTCTCGCGCCTCCCAGACTGGAAACCGCGGCTCTATAGTAATTAATAACACAGGAATAGTGTTTAATTAGAATTCAGAAGAATCGAGTAACATTTGCGGTGGGTATTTTTATTTCGTTCACGGTATTGTCCTCATGCTTTGTTTGTATTTTCAGCGGTTTCTGCGGCATTAGTTTGAATACATATAGGAATATTACCCAAATGTTGGCGGTGTCTGTGTTTTGAAAATTGTCTGTCTTTTTCGCAAAATGTTACTCTGACAATAGATGATGAAACTGTTTAAGAGGTTATGCGAAAAACAAATGAATAACAGCAACAGCAGTACAAACATTGGCAGTAAGAAAAATCTGACGTTTCATATGCACCAATAATAGAAGAAGCGGTAAGAATCACAAGTGCAAGGAAGAGTCAAGTTCATTGCTCACGTGCTGTGGTGATCCAACATTCTTAACAGACGGTGTGTACAATATAATACGTGTATATAATATAATAACACGTAACCGGCTAAACAAGTGTAAACAAGATGATTACGCGTTGTTGGCCGCGTCTCTGGCTTGCGCAACGCCGTATAAACAATGTGCTTAGTAGTAATGTTTATATTAAATTACTGAGTAACGCCGATGACATAGTAGCGTAAATAAACTGAAAGCGTTTCAAATAACAATTACCCGACAAATGCATGAACTTCTCGATTGAACCAGACAAATTCTTATTAACACGTTGCATGCCAACCAAATTGAATTACTGTAGTTCACTCAATTAAACAATGATTATTGGAAAACCTTTGTATATTATAAATAATGCTACCTAATACTGTGACATTCAGCTAAATGAACGTGCAATATAATTCAATTCAATCAAATGATTTAACACATTTGCATCGTTAAGCGGAATAATCCGCTCACAATAACTGTTGCTTATCACCAATTACTTTTAATTGCTATGCATTACTCGGTCCGAGCAGATTAATTTCAATCAGAAGCTTGAAAGACTTTCAGTCGAGCATATCTGATTTATGAAAGCTTCACATTTACAGCGAAGATGAAAATGAGTTAATATTATATTTATTTCCATTTTGCGTGTGTTGCTCTATGAAATCCCGCGGTATACAAAGCATTAACGTCTTCAAGCCATTATCATTGCTAAGAGGTCGAAATCAGATTCGTGTTCCAATCATTTTTCCAATCGAACGTCATTGAAGATCCCACGAACCATCGGAACGTTATCGAAAAATTACTTGAAACCGAGTTACCTCAGTTTTCCAGTTCTCGGAACCATAGAAGAAGATCAAACAATCGACCGACATGCCTCAGAAAGGGAAGTCCCGCGAAGGTTGTCCACGCACGAGCGCCAGAACGCTAGCAAAACACGAAAATCACCGGCCTTCAGATAGAAAGCCGTTCCCCGCCGTGATAATCGGGCCGAAGTGTGACCGAGAACTTTGAAAGTGCTCGTGGCACGTGGCTAAAGTCTCGCCGGGAAGCCCCGTAGCCGGCGAGGAGGCCGATTGGCCGGACATGGCAGCGCGCCGCGACTCGCCGGCCATTATTACGGCGCCCCGACGACGTTCGCGGTGCTGTACTGTTCGGACGTTCACACAACTCGCAACGCTGACCTCCAGCGGCCGATCGGCCGATTTTTTAACGCGAAATCGGAAATCGAGAGTGTCTAGAGCATTTACGACAGCCGGAGACACTGAAGATTCGGAATTTCTTCGCACAACTATCTTTTGTACTGTTAATCCTTCTTAATTTTGCTGCGATCAACTCTTCATCGAACTAAGGCAACAAGTGGAAGAACCGTTTCGTTGGGGCGTGGCAAGAGACTCATGGAAAATTTAATCCAAACGAGGATTCTCTATTGAAGGTCCCTTCTCACCGATGAATATTTAGTACCGTCTTCGTTGGTTGAAAATCGTATTACTAGAACGTCCATGTGATGGAAGAAGCTTTGGTCCTATGATCCTCAGCGCAAGATTCCAGGGAACTACCTGATGTTCGTTTGAATCATCGTTACATCATTCCTAGTTGCCGAGTAAGGGAAACCCCTTAAAACGCGTTGCGAAGTTAGAGGATCAAACCAGGTTGACATCATCAGTCGACGGCACTAGATTGTAAATGAGCCGCGAAATTCGACTGACTAATTTGTGTCACGAGTGGAATTTCATTAAACTGGAGAACGGAAAAGGGAAAATATTCTACAAGGAAAACCCGTTAGCGGGAAAGAACCTCTGAAATAGATAGCAACAACTTCCTTGAAAAAACAAGTGAACCCGACGCTCGAAAAGAAGAACGTGACACGATTGTTTAAGGAAAGTGTTCGAAAGTGAATAAAATTCTGCTAAAAGAACGGTTTTTCGTAATAAATGGTTCGAGCTTCAAAGCGGTCGGAGATGAGAAATAGTCGGTTGGTCCTCGACGCTGGAACAAAGGTGGTTGATCGACGAGGAGACAAAGAAGATCGAGATACAGCACAGCCGCAAGCGACGATGTCCTTATAACCGATCGAAGATCGGAAGAGCGTGTAACCGAGAGACTGAAGGAAAGTCGAGAATAAATCATCAAAGAAGACTGAACGTCTTGAAGAAGATTGCGAGCATTAAGGTGAGTCACGACACAAATCGATAGAAGCTTCTGGGAAATGACAGAGGACACTATTAATGGAAACGCTTTATCAAACATTTCCAGCATCCCGACAGGAGAGGTCAACGAATTAGTGTTTTTACGCGAGGAATCGAGCGGCTAACCGGAAGCAGCCTCCGCCAGTCGACTGTTCAAGGTCTAGACAACGGTCCAAGTGATTAAACACGAGAACATTCGCAAAAAGAATCTTAAGACAGGAGACCAAACGAATTATACGCTGCTGGAGGATCTACGGGATGATTGTGCAAGTTACAGTGAAAGGGTCCCAAGACAAAACACAAAGGAACAGCTAGATTTACCTTCTAACCCTCTACAAGCTGATTAACGGATAAAATCCCATCTACTTACGGTCCCGCGAGTGATCAGCGTGTCACGAAAGGAAAGAATAGATCGCCAGGTCTGCCGAGGTCAGAATAATCGACGACTACGGAGGAACTGCGGCCCGACTCCGCAGAAATCGATCTCCCTCCCGCGGATTGCATAAGTCGATTCCGGGCGGAGCAGTTTCGGTTTACCGGGACGATTCTACGATTACGCGAGCCGCGGGACACGCGATAGCGAGGACATGGGCGCGGGAGCAAGGAGCAGCGTCGAGAAGATCCGGGGAGACGGACTTTGCCTGAGGATCGCGTCGAACGAGAGGGCACTGGAGATCATCGGGGACGGCTGCAGCGTCGCGCTGGGCAAAAACTCGGGCAGCGTGAGCGTGATCGGCGATGGATGCCGACTGAGGATCGACCTGAACCACGGGGACGTGGAGTACACCGGGGATGGTGGCCGGGTGGTCTTGGGCCCGAAGTCCACGCGCAACAAGGTGAAATACGTCGGTGACGGGGGCAGAGTGTCCGTCGACGGTGAGCTGAGGACGAGAGCTAAGAGGCGGGACCAAGCCACGAAGGAGAAGATCGAGAAAAACGAAGGAGGAAACGAGAAACAGAAGGACAACGGAGCTTCGAAGACTGCGGAGGAAGAGGATAATCGCCTGAACGCGAAGATAGAGACGAAATCTGCGAAGAAGGAAGCTAAACCCGCGAAGAAGAAAGAGGAGAGAGCGAAGATCGTCACTAGACTGTACTGCGATCAGGAACTCGTCAGGAAATGGTTCGTGAATCCTGGATCGGTGATTGAATCCTTTGACGGGTCGTTCGCGAAGACTGGGCCTAAAGAGAGGAAGAGCAAAACTGAAGTTAAATGAGAAGACCGAGGGATTTAGGTGATCCTGATTCTTGCCTAGATTAATAAGATTCTCGTCTCATGATGGCTGCGTGCACGCGGAAGGATCATCTAGATTAACGGTATACGACTGGCATGTTTTGCGGAGGTAACTAGTCAAAGAAGCTCTGGTAGTATGCGTTCTGTATTGAATGTAGATACTTATGACTGCCCTTTGTAAAACATTCTGATATTTATATTATTTATATCTGTGAATAATCTTAATGTATAGAGGCAACAGTATTTTATCGAAAGTTCCTGTGACACTATATTTTAGAATACTAATCTTAAGCAACTGTACCTAAACGGTACAGTGAATCGTATACGAATAAAGGATCGGTAAATAAATTGTATCTTTGCGCATTGACAATGACCTTCGAGTTTCTTTTCCGTTTGCATATCCAAATCGACCGAGACGCTCATGTTTAATTAATAAGTTTGTGCATGGGCAGATAGCAAAATTAGTTGTATTAGCATATGTATACCAAATCCATCCGATACGCTAGACGTTCCTCGGAAGATGTTCCCTTCGTAATGGGAGCGATAAGATACAGAAAAAACGTTCAAATGAAAAAGCATCGTTAGGCCCGCGAGCGACAACATGCGACAAGTGATAGGGAAAAAGTCAGCTTTAAGTGCGCGAAGCAATTATGTGCACGCATAGGAACGACGCTGACAGGACGTTTTTTTTATCGGCTTCGACGAGATAATAAACATTTTCGATAATTGCGATGTTGGGAACGGGCTGACGAGTCCGGACAGCGATCACGATGCGGCGAGTTGCGCGTCAGAGTTTCGTGACCGTCCGCAGTCGGTTCGAATAATAAAAAAGGAACATAGAATCTCGCTCCATAGAAACGGCGTGTGCGTGATCGATAGCCTGCCCGCGTAAATCATCGACGAGTCTCGAATAATCGAACCTCCGCGCCGTTCATCGAATTCTCGGATGAAATTACGACGCGACAAATCGACGCCGAGAGGAACAAAGAATTAACGCGCTGAATGAGACACCGTCCCCGTGTCGCGAACGAAGAAAAACATTTTCCATCGAAGCCACGAAGTCCATTATGTCATTCAATGAATCCTATTGTGCTCACGGGAATCACTGATGCTATCAGCCGTCCCCGATCGCGGAAAACACGTGCACGGTGCAACCAGTCGTCGGTTATCTTCTACTGGACACCTTGAATTCAGACGTTCCGATAATCGAAATTCCGGTGAAAGAACTTCGGGAGAACTCGATTCGATTTCCTCATCGTCGCTAGAGGCTACCGTTGAAATGGCGAGTGTCGCGTTTCTTATTTCGCGACTATAGGTATTTTAACCCTTTGTGCTTGGAAGTTTTTCACTAGATATATTTTAACATTTTCTAATGATGTACAGACGATATTTTGTGAAACTTGAAGAGAAATCATACGTACATCGAGGAACGGATTTTATTAATTATTTTATTTCAATATTTCTCAAATTGATGCATTATACAAAGTATGATATTAAATATCAAATTTTATAGTTTCACTGTATGAAGTCAAGTGGTGGGAGTCACCTCTCGAGTGTAAAGGGCTAAAAGTGTTTTAGAAAACGATTTTGAAAATAGTTTCACTGGATTTCCTATAAAATGTCTAAGATACAAGACCGATCAACGTCAATTACAATTTCACCGCATTTACCATAGCTATGGCAAAGTGCGATGTAGTCTGCATATTATAAATGTGATATCACAGCAATTTGAGTCTGATAAAATTTTCCACTGTGCAGTTACGTTAGATCATACTATAACTTACACAACTATCGATGGCAGAAAAAGAATTCTGCCGCTATAGTGCCATATCAAAAAGATGATATACACGAAAGCCACTATAGTGGTGTACAGTAGCTAAAAGGTTAATGAACGTTTACCTAACGATTCACATAATATTCGACAAAAGTGATTCCAAGCCCAACTCTAAGGACTACTTTCACTTCGTCGATGTAACCGGTGGCAAACACGAAAACACCTGGATTAGATAATGTCGTTCCCAATTCGTAGGGAGTATCCCATAACCGGCGAGCACACAAATATCCCCGCGTCGAATTCACCAAGAGTCACCGTATATCTCGGCGAAATGATCGATCGTACATCTATCAGAATAAAAATGCGTGTCCACCGGGACTCCCCTAATCGACGATCGAATACACGCGAAAATTGAGTCACCGCGGATAACATCGACAGAGATAATTTCTATCAGCGAGCCTTAACACGTTGAACGCCATGGGGGTCACCGGTGACCCCCAACCAAGTCGAATTACTACAGTTCACTCAATTAAACGATGATTATTTGAAAACATTTCTATATTATATATAATGCTAGCTAATGCGGAGACAATCAGCTAAATGAACTTGCAACAATAACATTGCAATTCAATCGAATGGCTTAATGTCACATTTTTTTCATTTCGAGTATTTTGCTTTATGAAATCATGCGGCGTTGAACGTGTTAAACCGCGTAAATAGACCGTAACAGCGGATAAAATCTTCTGCAACCTCGAAATTAGATAGACCAAGGCTCTGCCACCCGAAATCTCTTCCGTGACCGCTGGTCAGTCGCGTTTAAAAGCCTCAGACTCGATCGATCGCGTTATCTTATCGTGAAAGTCAATGTCAATCCCCGAAACTCGGGGAAGTCCGCCGAGCACGCTTCAGCCCGGTCAGGGGGGCTTAACACTTCGACTGCCACGTCACCCGAATTCCGGTGACACTATTTTTTTACGTGAACTTAACACTAGAACAAGCGCCGAAGTTGACTTTTTGAAATTTATAGAAACTGCAAGAGTGCATCTATTCGCGTATTGCCAAATGAATTTCTTTGATCACTTCTCAGAGAAGAATCTGTTATATTTTTAATAATCGCAAGAAGAAGAAATTACGAATGAGTCATTTTGACCCGTTCGGTAGTTCTAGTGTTAAGCATTCTTGGTGACGTATCAAGCGAACCGAATTTTGTTAAGAGTATCAGATATGATAAAGATAGATGAATCGTTACGAAGAATCGTAATTTTCGAGTGTCTGCTCTTTTATGGGAACCGTTTCTATTGTACAGAATTTTTTATCTGTGTATATTTGGCAGCCGAAGTGTTAACGCAACGCCATCCGCACGTGTAATCGAGATTCCTTTGTTTACCTTGTTTAGGACTCGTGCAGGTCTTTTCGCCTCTTGTAAAATTAAAAAATTAACAGGTTGGCCGCCACGAGGATTTAGAGCGTTTCGTACAACATTACTTATCGTGTCATAACGAACGAAAATGATACGATGACGATCTTCTCGATCGTAACATTCCATTCAATTCAATAAATCTATACAAAATATTGAAAAAATGCAACTGAAATGAATCACTGAGTTCTTAAATATAATGACGTATCTTGTAACTTTAAAGAACAATATCTATAGTTAATTTCAGTATCTTCATGTAAAATATAAGATTATAGGTGTCCAAGTATGATTATAGGTGTACAAGTATGTGACACTGGTAGCGAACGTGTTAACACGTTGACAGCCACGGTGGTCACCGGTGACCGGAGCTTCCAAATTGCTTGAAAACAATTACAATAAGAAAATTGATATTGAATCAAAATATTTAGTGACACGGGAAGGTAGATAATAGTGTAATATGAATACTGTAACACCAAAACATTAATAATTACATCTAATACTATTTTTCTCTATTATAAAGGAATAAATCTTACTATAACAAAACGCTCGAAATTCTCGTAGTAGTCAACGTGTTAAGTTACTATTATTTAGTTAACGTAACTAAATATTTCGTCACATCAGTTTTCTCCTTATAATTGTTTTCAAGTAACTTCGATGACCGTGGCGGCGTGTGAAAAACACAGAATTCACTAATCCAATCGTATTGCAACCTCGTGCAGAACACAAGCGATAGTAGCGTTTGCGATAGCTTTGCACGCGACACCAACGGTGGTGTCACCGGCATTTGTCCGAAAATTCTCGCATTGGCAGCAACGCGGTGTCACCGGACGGCGTAGTGTTAGTATGGCGAGCAGCGCACAGGATGCGTTCGTTCCTTCATTAAATTCGAGGAGGCTCGCCCGGCGACGGGCGAGCAATGCGAAGAAGAAGGGGTTCCACCGGCCGTCGTTCAGCGGTTTTCCGCCGAAAGGTCGCTAGGTGGCTAATGGAGGTCAACCGGGGATCGTTAGCTTCCTCGTTCGCCCCCGGGAAACTACGAGCCTCGCTTCGCCGAACGTACTTTTTGCGAAAGGGGTGAAAAGCGGGCGGCGCCTCCCTCTTCTCCCACATTCGGAATCCCGCGAAGGAGAAACTTGTTTACGGGGAATGCCGGCGGAGGATTCGAGAGGATGTACGAACGCATTCGGTTGTTAAGCGTAATTGTTTCGTTGTGTACTGGGCGGTTCAAAGTTGGAGGACTTGTTGGCGATTCGAACCTCAATCGCGGTAATCGATGATTACGACTTTGTTGTTACAAACTTATGATTTATCGAGTTCTTGTTTGTATATGTGATTTGATCTTCTACAGAGCGATTCAAAGTTGGTGGTTCTTTCGTATTTGAAACGCGAAACGATCGAAGAATTGGTAAGGTGTTTCTTAATGTTAGCGATGTACAGGTAGATCTGTTGCGTGAACGTTTCAATTTATCGCGCTCTCGTCCTGTACAGGGCGATTCAAAGTTATGGGAAGTTAAAAGGCTCTTGAGGGAACTGACATCGTGAAGAAGTATACGCTCGATGAATTATCACATTCGTCTGTGTTACTTTCGTCTCTTACAGGCTGATTGAAAAGCGTCGAAGAAGTTCGTAGCTACGGATAAGTTGCGATAATTCGTCTATTCTAAACAATTACTGCTACGTATAAGAGCTAGCACCCGCAGGCTCGACGTTCGTTGAATAATCGGTGTAATAGGAGGCGGCGAAAAGAGCGTTCAAAAGAAGCGGTCGACAGGGGAAGTCAGTCGATCGCGCGCGGATGCAATTAACGAAATACAGTGGGATGAATAGAGCGCTTTGAGCGCTTCTACCCCAACCGAACAGAGCGCAACCGTTAATGAGGCCACGTGCGCCTCTCCTCGCAGACAATGCTGACGCTACGACGGTATATAGGGTGGTCCACGCAGTTGTAAATATTGATCCGAGCGGAACAACGCCGTTCGGTCGAAACTCGTTGGCATTGTTCGAACAGGCTGAGCGGAAATTTTGTTTTCTTTATTTCGGCGGGGTAACGGGCAGCCTAACATCGTCCCAGTATTCGACATCGGTTGATCAACCGTATATATAGCAGTTCCGTAACATTAGTCAGCGATAGCAAAACAGAATTCGCGTGGACAACAGTGGTATAGGTTTTGGAAATATTTGATCGGATCCCGACG